CATCACGCACTATTCTCACTCCGCAATGAGGTTCAACGGTCTTTGAGGCACGGCTTCTCAGATGGTTTCCAATCGCCGATGACACTTTATCTTAAGAGAATTTGCTTTAACATGAGGCGAGCACAAAGCCCTAATTCGTCACCTTGTCGATTTTGCATGTGAAGCCCTTAAGAAACTTAATATTATAAAAATATGACCGACCAAGAATAATTATCAAGCTGAAGAACATAACAATAAATAGCAAAGTGTGCGATGAAACAAACAAACAAATGTTTTCCTTTTTCTGTTAATTTCCTCGTAACTGGCTGCTCTTCATGTGAAAAGAACAAATATAGGGGACCTGTTGAATCAATTTCAGAAGAACAGAAACCGAAACAGTGACCGTAGATAAGAGATAACGGAGAAACTGCCCGACAATGGGAACGGGTTTGTTGATCAGTCGGGCTGGACTTGGTCAAAAAGAGAAAGAGCACGATGTGAAGCTCGAACTCCACATGTGACTGCAGTATACACGCATCAGATGAATTTGAGCTTTGAAGAAAAATGGTTTGGTGGGTGTAAAGAAATGAATGGCGCGGAAAGTGAACCGTTATTTTGTTTCCATGGTTAGCACCACTCTCGAATAACGGCCCTGTATTTCACCGAGTGTAGAAAACTTTAGCCCCGAATTTCTTTATAAAAATATCGAAGACCAAACAAGGACAAAAATCTCTTTCAAAACTGTAATAGGTGGTGTGTTCTCAAGTATTTTCGAAAGACGAAACATTTTCATTTGTGTATACATTTCCACTTAAATTAGCCAAAATTATACAATGCAAACCCATGTAAGAGAGCGGAACTCACATCTGGTTTGGGTATTTGGAGAATGTGGGTCATAATCGCCTGTAAAAAGACAACAGAAATTTTAAAGCCTTTTTTCATAAATACCACTGCAAACACCGTTCGATCAAAAACTAATGGAAACCAAGACAACAGTCAAGTGAAAAAGAAACTACCCAAGGATGAGTGTCCTTTTTAACCGCCTTCACATAAACAAGATCGGTATGCTTGCAATCAAAATTTCCCTCATTTGAAGACCAAACGGTAAGTAAGATATGTATACATATGTGCATATGCATAACAAATCAGGAATTACTTCAAGTGCCAGGAATCAAGTTTTAAGATGAGAGCAGGAACAAAGAACTGAACTATTAAGAATCGTTTATTCCGCTTTAAACTCACGTTGGTATATTCGAAACCGCTGTTTGTTAGCATGAACACTTTCGCCCCGTTGTGACGTAATCTAAAACCGTTAGAAGGGTTAGTCTCAGTGAAAAAAGTCAATTTTCATTTTCCCCACCGAAAAATGCATCCAAATTATCTTACAATCCCGCCACATGATTATTCCAACAGTTTGTTCTCCAAATGAAGGCTATTCTCAGTTCCAACGAGTAGGAACTACTGTGTGGTCCACGGGAAACGAAACTTGCTAGCTAAAAAGCGATGAAATGGATATGCATCCCATTTCACCGATTTCTAATAAACATCAAGCCAGGAAATTAGTCGTCAGTTTTTAGGCATTTTTGAGGAAATAACTGAATTTTCTTAGAATCACTCGATGACCTCCGACTTCAAAAGTTCGGCTTCAACTGAACCCCAATCGTGAAATCGATTGACACCCGCTGACGTGCCACAATGTGATACTTGAATACTTTACCTCACATCATGCAAGGATAACTAAACTAAATTAATTTTTGAAAATACGTAATGACACAAAGAAAGCAACAAATAGTTCAATTTCAAATATATTTGGTCGGTTCTACCAATGTATGCTGCGTTGCAACTGCAACAGAAGGCGTAAATGTAATGAAAGGTAGACTCGACTGGGCGACGATCCTTGAATTGGGGGGAGGGGAGACACGTGCAATCGGATGGAGACGTAATGTGGCAGTATAGTAGGTTCGTTGTAAAGCGTTTTTGATACGCTGTATGATAAACTGCATTGTTGACTCCCTTTGTATGGCAAAGAGATGTGGATATTCTTTGCGACGAAGCATACATTGGTAGAAATGACCGATCACTGCGAACTAGAATGGTCGGACACACCCCCAAGTACGCGCGTGATTCAATGGCTCAAATATATTTATTTACTTGCAGATCACTGAGGCTCAATCATAGTGAAAATATTATTTCGAAACAGAAATATCTGGAACAGAACTGCGAAGTTTCGTTTGGAACTAAACATCAAATCACATTTTCAAAAGCGACGAAGTGATCAAAATCGCCATTTACAAGCTTATCAGACCATATTTTATTCGCCGATAAGATAAAAAACAAACCAGCAACTGATGAAAGAGTGAATTGTTCGCCAACTTGTTTCTTGTGAGCCACTTACCTATCCAACAGACTGCACAAACGATTGTCCTGATCAAGATAGCGATATAAATCAGCAACCGTTCGCCGTTTTAATTCGTCCTCAATTAATGAAAAATGTAAGAAGAAAAAATTTCGCAGATGAAAATCAATCCATAAAGGAATTACTGAGGTCGTGATAAATCTGACAAATAAAATGTATTATACCAGAAGAAAATAATTCACCGAGTGAAGAAAAGACCACAAACAATAGTATAAAGCTGCATGCGGAAGGGAACAATTCATAAACCTGTGATAATAGCAGGCACGATTATTTGGATATAATTATGGACTTAGCTTAAACAGTTAAACAGTCTGAACAACAACACTAACAAAAAGTATGAAATTATTTTCGACAACTGAAGTGCTTCTTGGAAAATGGTTAAACAATTATCCGTCTTTGCAAATATAAGTTATCGTGGAAACGAAATGTCAAAGTCGAAGTCGAGTTGTACATTACAAGAACAGCACTTTTTCCATTTGAAGTGTTGAGTTGAGGAAGCTTAAGTGAATGGATTTTCGAATTAACTGAATTAGAACTGAGTACCTATCTCCTGATCAAATCACTGAAAGCATGTCATTAGTTATATTACTTCAGCAATAAATCTGCAGAAAAAAGCCTGATGGAGACAAGAAAGTCACAGGAAAGCAAAATGCAGTTAGGTATTGGGCTCACAACTATGACGATAACGCTGACAATTAGTGCAAGCGTTCCCCCATTGCTTACAGGTGATCAATGAAACATTTCCTGAAGGCAGAGTCTTCACATGGTGCACGATTTCATTACGGGGTAAATATGATTGAGGAGAAAGACATTGAATTTTTTGTAATTGCCAATTCTTGTTGTCCCTCATCGCCGATTTGACCCGTCGGTCAATAAAGACAAACAGTCACCAACAGACTAGACCTTCCACGTGAAAGCTGAACATCGATATCTATAAACCGCCTTTCATTCAGCTCCATGAAAAACCAAGGTAATCAAGACAAAACCATCCTCTAAGTTCCAGACCTAATTAGAGGTTGACTAATCCTCGTAAAGGGAAAAGATAAGCTGCTCCTGCAAATACACGAAGAAAATGCAAAACTTTCCTAGTTCTTGATTAACGAGCACGGTGATTTCCGTCTAAGGGTGAACAAAGCAAATTAAACAACAAACAAACGTGAAACAAAGCTTGATTTTAGTCAAAAGTAACTTCTAATCGTATTCGTAGTAAAAAGCTGTAAAAATTTTGACCGTCATCATTTTGGTGAAATTTATCCGTTTTTTTATCGACCACAATTCTGCTCTGTAAATGAGCGACGTTCATTTGAGGCTTTCATCTTGTGACTTTAAAGCCAACCACAAAGTTACGCTATTCCTGTTGTGTCGACAATAATATCACAAATAGCCCGCCAAACTAATGGGAATTATATTTTAAAAGAAAATAGTCAAATAAGAATTTAAATGCGATTTGCTACAAACGGGAACCTCCGCAATATGATCGATACAGCTCTACTACTGTGTAAGAAGGAGTTGCATATAGAAAACACATTTTTGACCAATCGCAGATGTGGGGCCATTCGTCAATGAGAATTTACCTGAGAATTTACCAAAAGAGAACGACCGTAAAAAATAAGTTTGGGCAAATTTCCTCTCCAAAAAGTTGTTTTCGTTACACACCTGACTGTGCAGAACAGAAAAAGAAGTTTGAACAGTCATTAAGCATGCACTTCCTTGGGGTGGTTGTGAACAGTGTCGTCTGGTTGTCCGTTTCGATGACGTTTCAGTTTTAGTTTGAACAACCATTAGTCACGCATATTCGTGCGCCGGTTTTGGTTGCTGCGTAAAATGTTGCTTTGTATGACGAGGCAAGAAGATTGAAATATTGAAAGCAGCATCAAAGTGAAAATAGAGAATTCTGGTAGACTAAGGTTACATGGGCACTTAGATGCATAAAGGCCTCTCTTTATTTCCCAGTCTTGTAGGATTACTTTGCACTTTGAAGGTGTTAAGCACATGCCGACAGAACTTGATAATCTGTCAAGTGCTCTTTGTGCATCCTACATACATTCGTCGGCGTACTCCAAATCGCACAGCTTTTCTCCAGCTGCTCATTCAATACCGACATTTTGGAGACCACTTATGACGAAATGCAACAGGAATGGCGAAAGAGGGCACCCTTGACGAACACCATTGCTAGTTATGAACGACCTTTTCAGCTCGCCGTAGACCCTTACGCTACCAGAGGTATGTAAGTAGAGTGAACTCAGTATGTTCACATACCTCTGTGGAATTCCCACCTATAAGGGATTCACGATCAACCGAGTCGAAGGCTCCTTTTAGGTCAAGGA